TCAAGCCCAGTGCTGATGGGAGCAAACAGGGCTAACTGCCCATCCTAGCTCCGTTTTTTTATTTGCTGCAACCAAATTCCAGTGTGGGGGAGGGGGCAGCACTCCGCTCTGCTAAATAATTTCCCAGCTTTGGCTTCGTGACGCAGTTCTGCTCATTGAGACACAGGTGGATACCTGTTGAGGGCATCTACAAAACCTTTTTCCTGCCAGATAAAACGGAAGAAGACACCGCTGGAGAGCTCTGTCCCCTTCCTTCTGTCTTGAACAGAGGCGTGCTGGCTAGAGTGCCACCTTGGGGCCTTAGGCCACACGCCAGCACGCTGCCCAGCAGAGCCCAACCGCACTGCTGAGCCGAGGCCCAGCCCTGAACCGCCTCCCCCTGAGCTGCCTATTTTATTTATTTATTTAGAGAGGGAGTCTGGCTCTGTCCCCGGAGCTGGAGTGCAGTGGCACGATCTCGGCTCACTGCAACCTCCACCTCCCAGGTTCACTTGATTCTCCTGCCTCAGCCTGCCAAGTAGCCGGGATTACAGGCACACACCACCACACCTGGCTAATTTTTTGCATTTTTAGTAGAGACGGGGTTTCACTGTGTTAACAGACTGGTCTCCAACTCCTGACCTTGTGATCCGCCTGCCTCAGCCTCCCAAAGTGCTGGGATTACAGGCGTGAGCCACCACGCCCAGCCCTGAGCTGCTTATTATGTAAGAAAATAACAGGGCTTTTCATTCCACGCAGCTGACATGATCTGTCTGTCTGTAGAGACAAGGTTGGCCTTGATTGAACCTCTGGCCTAAAGCAATCCTCCTGCCTTGGTCTCCCAGAGCACTAGGATGACAGGCATGAGCCACTAACCCACCTCAGCTGACACTTGGCACTTGTTTTGGTGACTAAGCATCTGAACCCCATCAGGGCTCGGAGGATCTACACGCTGTGTGTCTTGGTCAGGGTCAAAAACCATTTCCCTATCCCAACTGCAGCTGCAAATGGCCAGACACTCACTGTGGAGTTCTCTCTGTGGCTACTGCACAGGCCGTGACCCAGGTGCCACCAGGCAACTTCAGAGCTCCTGCCGCCAACTCACCGGGGACCTTGTGCTGAGACTTTGCACATGTTGAAGTGTAACACTCATTTTGCAGGTTACTTGAATTCGACACTGGTCTCATTATTCTACAACACGGATAAAATAGGTAATTCCGCTAGGCACGGTGGCTCACGCCTGCAATCCTAGCGCTTTGGGAGACCAAGGCAGGAGGAGGGATGGCTTGAGCTCAGGAGTTCGAGACCAGCCTGGACGACATGGTGAGACCTTGTCTCTACCAACAATAAAAAACTAGCCAGGTAGTGGTGTGCACCTACAGCACCAGCTACTTAGGAGGCTGAGCTGAAAGGGTTACTTGAGCCCCGGAAGGCCAGGGCTGCGGCGAGCTGTAATTGTGCCCTTGCACTCCGGCCTGCTGGGCAAAAGAGCGAAACCTAACTAAAAAAAAAGAAAAGTAATTTCAAGATTCTCCCTAATACGTTTTCATTTATTTGTTTTATTTTATTTTATTTTTTATTTATTTATTTTTGAGACAGTCTCACTCTGTCACCCAGGCTGGAGTGCAATGGCACAGCCTCAGGTCACTGCAACCCCTGCCTCCCGGGTTCAAGTGATTCTCCCACCTCAACCTCCCGAGTACCTGGGATTATAGGCGCCCACCACCACACCCGGTTATTTTTTATTTAAAAAAGAGATGAGACAGGCCGGGCATGGTGGCTCACACCTGTAATCCCAACACTTTGGGAGGCCAAGTCAGGCAGACCCCTTGAGGTCAGGAGTTCGAGACCAGCCTTGCCAATATGGTGAAACCCTGTCTCTACTAAAAATACAAAAATTAGCCGGGGGTGGTGGCACACGCCTGTAGTCCCAGCTACTCGGGAGGCGGAGGTGGGAGAATTGCTTGAACCCGGGAGGCAGAGGTTGCAGTGAGCCAGTTGTGCCACTGCACTCCAGCCTGGGGGACAGTGAGTCACCTTCTCAAAAAATAAAAAGAGCTGGGCACGGTGGCGGTGCCTGTAGTCCCAGCTACTTGGGAGGCTGAGGCTTGAGCCCAGGGGTTCTGGGCTTTAGTGCGCAGTGCCAGGTGTCTGCCCTAAGTTTGGCATCAATATGGTGACCTCTCGGGAGTGGGGGACCACCAGGTTGCCTAAGGAGGGGTGAACCACCCCAGGTTAGAAACGGAGCAGGTGAAAACTCCCGTGCTGATCAATAGTGGGGTCGCGCCTGTGAATAGCCACTGCACTCCAGCCTGGGCAACACAGCGAGACCTCGTCTCTAAGAAAAAGTGAAAAAGAAGAGACACATCTCACGGTGTGGCCCAGGCAACACCAGGGCTCAGGCAGCCCTCCGGCCTCAGTATCCCAAGGGGCTGGATTACGACCCTGAGCCGCTGCACCCAGCCCCTGTTTATGGACTTCTTGTGTCATTAACCTACTGCTTTTAGCACTGTGTATTTTTATTTTTTGGTAGTTTTTGAATTCAGGGGAGCTCTTTGCCTTCTTGTCATCCTCTAAATCCCTAAAATTGTGATGTTATGTAGCAAAAGCATCGTAACAAAAAATTCACTAATGAACTCACCTAAGAGCCCCACTTAATCATCTCCTTTCATTCATTTCTTTTTATGTTTTATATATTGATTTTTTTTTTTTTAATTGAGACGGAGTTTCACTCTTGTTGCCAAGGCTGTAGTGCAGTGGCGCAGTCTTGGCTCACTTCAACCTCCGCCTCCCGGGTTCAAGCGATTCTCCTGCCTCAGCCTCCCAAGTAGCTGGGATTACAGGCGTGCGCCACCACCCCCGGCAAGTTTTATGTTTTTAGTAGAGATGGGGTTTCTCCATGTTGGCCAGGCTAGTGTCAAACTCCTGACTTCAGGTGATTTGCCTGCCTCAGCCCCCAAAGTGCTGGGATGACAGGCGTGAGCCACCGCGCCCGGTCTTTCTTTTTTTTTTGAGACAGAGTTTTGCTCTTGTTGCCCAGGCTGGAGTGCAATGGCACAATCTCGGCTCACTACAACCTCCACCTCCTGGGTTCAAGCAATTCTCCTGCCTCAGCCTCCTGAGTAGCTGGGACTGCAGGTGCGCACCACCACACCCAGCTAATTTTTTGTATTTTTAGTAGAGATGGGGTTTTGCCATCTTGATCAGGCTAGTCTCAAATTCCTTACCTCAGGCAATCTGCCCACTTCGGCCTCCCAAAGTGCTGGGATTACAGGCGTGAGCCTCCGAGCCCGGGCAGAGATTTAGTCTTATAACGAGGCCAAGGGTAGAGTGGTCACTCCTCTGCTGTTGTGCACGTGCAGGCCATGCGTTCACTGCCTTCAGTATAAGATTTAAAGTGGGGCGCTGCCTATCTGAGCTTTTCAAGGTGCTGTGATCCGCGGGTATGGCACCTTGAGGATTTCTAGTGGAATGCTGCTTATCTGACTTTTTCGCTGTCCTGTAGTTAGCAGGTAGGGAAAAAGAAAGAAGAAGAAGAAAGCAAAGGGGAATTCATCCACGGCTTGGGAGCCGAGCCCCATCCCCCCGTGTCTCAGTAAGTATCAGATGATGCTATCATATAATTTTGTGGGAAAAAACAAGCCTCAGAAATGGAATTCCGAAGGACTCATTCTTTTTGGTTCTAAAAATCCGTTTCTGACAGCTGGTCTCGACTGACCAAGCCCTCCCTGGGATGGGCCGGCCTCAAGTCAGGACCCCCGCTGGCCGGATTCCTGGCCACACTGCACAGAACACAGCCCCTCGGGGACCCTGGGTGGGGTGGAAGCCCCTCCCCTCACTGACACCCTGCTGGTCTCTCCTGGGGTCTCCCAGTCTCTGCTGCCCAGCTGCGAAACTGACCCTCACACTACGGAAGGTCAGCTTCTCGGCCCAACCACTGCCCCTCCGAGTCCCTCCTGCCCTTCTACCCTCCCTGTCCCCCTTCCCCACTGTGTCCGAAGTTTCTAAGAACATCCTCAGGACCCTGTTGTCAGCTCTGGGAAGTCCAAAGTTCAGGGTTTTGGGCAATTAAACCCAAGGCCTGTCAGCGGGCTAGGGGTGAATGACCAGGGAGCGTTCCTGCGGAAATGGTGGGAGGACGATGAGTCAGTCTGTGTCTTTGTCAGGGTGGGGCTGAGGCCATTGACCCTCTGGGGGTCAGGGTCCTTACCTGCCTCTTCCTCCCCTGACCTCCACCTTAGGAGGCAGGTGGGCCACTGAGATGCCTGCAACACAACGTTGTCCTCTGCCAAGAGCTGGACTTTTTAGGAGGAGGGTGAAACTGGACGGGACCGAGCTTGGCTCTTGGGAGAGGCTTTGAGGGGTCTGGGACAGGAGCGGGGCTCCTCTGCGTATGCCATCAGGGATGCTTTCTCTGCTCGTAGGGCCCAGCAGCCCAGGGCAGGGAGCCCCTCTGCCTTCCCGGAACTGACCCTCTGCACCCTCTCCTGGGCCCTCTTCTCCCTACCTACAACCTCCACCGTGTGCAATGGAGCCCCTCCCCCAGGCCCCTCTGGCTGCTCTCCACACCCCGTGGCTCTCTCTCTAACCTGGTTCCTTAACCTCTCTGGACCCCAGCTTCCTTATCTGTAAAATGGGAATAAGGATACTGCTTCCCCCGTAAAGCAGTTGTAACGTTTAAATAAGCTAAGGCCCACACTGCATGTCTGGCACAGCAGACGTGCTAACAGACGCTGCCTGCTGCTCTGAGTTTATGCTTTTGTCAATTACGCAAGCAAATCCTAAGGAACACTTCGTTTGTGCCAGGCTCCACGCCAGGAACCGAGAGGACCACGGTGCCGCAGTGCAAGACGCTGTGTGTGGCTTCAAAGAGACTTCCATCTCTTTGGACAGAGAGAAAAGAGAAGCTGTCAACCAGCACGATGGGCTGCAAGCACATGACTCGGAGGGCTTCAGGGCCTGCCAGCAACTCAGACCCTCGGGTGCACCCTCCTCCTGGGGCGCATCTTCAGGCCCAGTGGCGGGCAGGCTAAGCCTGGCATCAAGAGGCGATGAGCGGGCTTTGGGAGACCCACACCTCATCTGGCTGCTCCAACCTGTCCTCCTTCCCACTCGAGGCCTCAGGCCTGAGTCCCCCCCGCGGAGTCCCGGGCCTGGGTTCCAGCAGCTTCCTCAATGAGGAGCCAGGGCTTCGTCTCCACCCACCCTGGGCAGGAGTTTCCCGGTGCGTCCACCCCACCCCAGAAGGCTCCTTGAAGGGCAGGGTCGACTCCCCAGGATGGGCAGGGCGGGGCGCTTGTCCCAGCGGTGGGAGGAGCCACACGGGAGCTCTGCCAGCAAGAGGATCAAATTCCTCCAGGGTGAACTGTGAGACAGAAAGTCCCAGCAGCCGGGAAGGCCCTGGAACTGCACCTGCCCTCAACCCGCCCGGCAAGGCCCCCACGCGCGGCCCGTCCTGCCCCTCTGTGCCCCCGGGAGCGCTGGAGAGAAAGCGGCGATGGAGCCGGGCAGGACCCAGATACAGCTTGACCTGCGGTGAGTGAGGGCCAGGCAGAGTGAGGCAGGGCTGAGCACCGCTGCCCCGAGGTCCTCAGGGACAGCGTGGGTTTGGGCCCTTGTGAGCCTTGCCCCCAGTGTGGGGAGGACCCCACAGGTGGGGGCAGCCGGGCCGCGCTCCCCAGGACCCACCCCTTCTCTGGCCGGCCCCTGGACTGCTGCCCGATCAGAGTGGAGACAGCCCTGGGTGGGCTCTCCAGGCATGCGGCCAGCACAGCCCTGGCCGGGTGGCAGCTTGTCTTACTCCCCAGCCTGGGCCAATTCTCCTCTCCCTCTAAGAAAAGGGCCGTGAGGCGCCTGTGATCTCAGCGCTTTGGGAGGCTGAGGCGGGAGTCCAAGAGTTGGAGACCAGTGCCCAAGCAACATGGCGAAATCCTGTCTCTACTAAAAACATAAACAGTCAGCCAGGGTGACACACACACACACACACACACACACACACACACACACACGCAGAACAAAAAGGGCCCTGAGGGGAAATGGACAAAGTCCCCGCACTTGGGAGTCTCTGAGGGTCCAGTGTGCAGCCCCCACCCCCACCCCTCATGGTTCCAGGACTGTCTGAGGGTCCATATGTGCAGAACTCCCCCCGCCCCCCATGGTTCCGGGAGTCTCTGAGGGTCCAGTGCGCAGAACTCCCACGCCCCCCGCCCCCCATGGCTCTGAACACAGGCTGGTCTCTCACCAGATACACGGCAGATCTTCTGGAGGTGCTGAAGACCAATTACGGCATCCCCGCCGCCTGCTTCTCTCACCCTCCCACCGCAGCCCAGCTCCTGAGAGGTGAGTGGGGACCCTCCCTAGAGGGAACTGAGAGCAAGGGACACATGACCCAAAGGGGAGCCAGGCCGGCCGAGCGAAGCTGGGGAGAGGCGGCCCTGAGCTGGTCCACCTGCACAGAATAACTGGCCGGGTGTCCGTCACCTTAACAAGGTGGCTAAGGCCTTGGAGAAGGGAACCTTCTCAAGGAGTCAGTGGCCAAAATGGTAGCATGAGAGCCCAGCTCCGGAGAGCAGCCATCCTGCTGGGCCTCCGCAGGCCGGCCTCAAAGCTCAAACTGGGGAATATGCGACCTGGAATGCTTTTTCTGACCCGAGTCATCTAGGGACCCAAGATGGCACCCAAGTGGTCCGAGCGCCATAGGGTCTCCTGGAGGCCTGCACAGCATCCTCCCCGGAGAAGGGCCTGTATCATTCTAGAGGGAAGGTTGTTGTGAGTGATGTGCTCCACACAGGTGGACCCAGCTCTATCTGTTTTACGACGCAGCCTTTCTGAAAAACCCTTGTCTTTGGCCAGGCTCGGTGGCTCACGCCTGTAATCCCACCACTTTTGGGAGGCCGAGGCTGGAGGATCACCTGAGGTCAGGAGTTTGAGACCAGCCTGACCAACATGGTGAAACCCCGTCTCTACTAAAAATACAAGAGTTAGGCTAGTGTGGTGGCCTATGCCTGTAGTCCCAGCTACTTGGGAGGCTGAGGCAGGAGAATCGCTTCAACCTGGGAGGCGGAGGTTGCAGTGGGCTGAGATCGCGCCAGTGCACTCCAGCCTGGGTGACAGAGTGAGTGAGATTCCATCTCAAAAAAAAAAAAGAAAAAGTGAAAGGCATAGGGTGGGGCTCCACATACTCCCTGGGCATGAAACACTGGGAACCAAGGCCTGGAATGCTTAGAGAAAGCGTGGCTCTGGCCTGCACACTGTGGGTTCCCTGTGCATGCTGACCACCTCTGACACACTGGATCAAAGGCTGCGTCTCTACAGTGTGCTGAATGCGTTTCCCAGGCAGCAGGACGCGTCAGTATGCATTCGCACGCAGACACGGCACGTCCTTGGACTGTGTGGCTTCGCTTTCAGATGAACCAGTGCGAATGCCCATGGCCAGGGCGTCCAGACGTGCCTGGTGGCCACGCCGTGGTCAGTGCCAGTACGTGGCTGCTACAGCAGTTCCAGGAACCTGTTCAGAGAGTGCAGCTGGTGGCACAAGCCTCGCTCACACAGCAGCTCTCACCAAGGGAACATTTGCCAGTCTCTGGAGAGGGTTTCCATTGCCATGCTGGAAGGTACCTTGTGGGCAGAGGCCAGGAGAGCTGCTAAACTTCCTACAGTGCACAGGACCGCTCCCCACAAAAGATGATTCAGGCCGAAGGGTCAATAGTGCTCAGGTTGAGAAACCCTTCCGTACACAACGAAAACGGGTTCACATTGCTTTGCTACAAAATGTGCAAACAGAACCCCCAAGGCTGTTCAAAACAGAGACGCCATTCTAAGCCTGCTGGTCCGGCAAGCTGCAGGCAGAGTGGGTGGGATTTGGGCAGTGGGCTCTCCAGGGCGGGGAAGCTGAGCAGAGGAGTTGGCGGGTGCCCCAGGCTGTACTTTATCCCGCAGAGGGAAGGAGCTGGCGAGGGCTCTGAGATTGGGAGAGGCCAGATGAAAGTAGTGCTTCATGACCGTTAATCAGGATTGCAGAGGAAGAGCCTTAAAAGCAGGGATGTGGCCGGGCGCGGTGGCTCATGCCTGTAATCCCAGCACTTTGGGAGGCTGAAGCGGGTAGATCATTTGAGATCAAGAGTTCAAGACCAGCCTGGCCAACATGGTGAAACCCTGTCTCTAGTAAAAATACAAAAATTAGCTGTGTGTGGTGGTGGACACCTGTAATCCCAGCTACTCGGGAGGCTGAGGCAGGAGAATCGCTTGAACCTGGGAGTCAGAGGTTGCAGTGAGCCGAGATCACCCCACTGCACTCCAGCCTGGCAACAGAGCGAGACTCCGTCTCAAAAAAATTGTATGCTCTGCAGGAATCATATTTAACTTTGATGCATTTCCAAAAATCCCCTCGCCGTGGAATACTTCTGTCCCATAGTATCCATTCAGATGCACTTTTGGGGAAATTGGGTTCAACCAGGAAAGAAGAGGCCACCTTCTAAGAAGATAAAGAGTTTGATGGACAGCCCAGTACCGGGCTGCGGGTGCTAAGGAGCTTGTCCTTTCCTGATTAGAGCACCAAAGGCAAGAGATGGAAGACACTGCGACAGCATTCACGTGAGAGAATCTGCCCGCCTCATCTCCGAGAGGGAACGGTCCTCCTACGGTTGCCTTTGATCACCTCTCCCGTATCCACACGTACACACACCTAGAGTCACTGTGTGCGGTGCAGAAGAATCGTGTGGGCTTAGCGTCGCGAACCCGAGCTTCCTTCCAGGCTGTGTGACCATGGGCAAGGTGCTTCACTCTCTGAGCCCAGTTTCCTGAAAAAGTCTATAAAATGAGGGTGATGACGGGAATTACCACAGGGTTATTTCTTTCATTCAACCAACAGTTGCAGAGCAGTTACTGCTCCAGTCATCTGAGAACAGAGCACAAGCTTGACAAAGTCCCTGCCTCCATGGAAAGTCCACAATGAGCTGGTAAACAGCTCTGTGGACACAGATAGCCCCGACGTGGCTGGAGGACGTAACCTCACGGGGACATCACCTGGAGTGGAGATTTCCAAGGGGCAGGGAGCAGTTAGGGAAATGACGACTGGGAAAGGCTGTGGGTTTATGGCTTGTGAAAGGGCAGTTTTTACACTCTGAGGGCTGATGAGGACTCGCTGGGGCTTAGGGAGGCTCCGGCAATGGCCACCCTTGCCAACCCTTGCCAAACCACGGAATATTGGTTTTAGGAAACCTTCTGCATTAATTTTGGCTTTTTCCTATCTGGACTTTGCCTATTGTCTGAATTTTTTTTAATTACACATTTTTATTATAAAAATCATTCAGGTTTAATAAAAAATAGATATATAGCAGTAAAAAGAAAAAAAAAAAAAAATCTACAATCACACCCAGAGATAGGCACTGCAAGTATCTTAGTGTAATTTCCTTTTTCTGTGCTTCTTTTTTTTGATACTGAGTCTCGCTCTTTTGCCCAGGCTGGAGTGCAATGGCGCAATCTCAGCTCACTGCAACCTCTGCCTCCCAAGTTCAAGCATTCTCCTGCCTCAGCCTCTCAAGTAGATGGGATTACAGGCGCACGCCACCACACCCAGCTAATTTTGTATTTTTGCTAGAGACGGGGTTTCACCATGTTGACCAGGCTGGTCTCAAACTCGGCCTCAAGTGATCTGCCTGCCTCAGCCTCCCAAAGTGCTGGGATTACAAGCATGAGCCACCGTGCCCGAACCTTTCTCTGTGCTTTTATTTAACATTTGTAGATCATACTAGTCCTATAATTTTATGTTCTGTTTTTGTAAGCATGACATTAAAATAAAATTTTCACATCATTGTATATTTGGAAAAATGTTTTTCTCTAAAAAAAAAAGTTTATTTTTGTTATAAAATACATATTCATTATAGAATAATTAGAAAAGAGAGACACTAGAGATTTTCACACACAGAGAAAAGGCCGTGTGAGGACACAGTAGAAAGTGGCTGTCAGCTGGGTGCTGTGGCTTGTGCCTGTGATCCCAGCACTTTGGGAGGCTGAGGCGGGCGGATCCCTTGAGGTCAGGAGTTCGAGACCAGCCTGGCCAACACGGTGAAACCCCATCTCTACTAAAAATAGAAAAATTTGCCGGGTATGGTAGCAGGTGCCTGTAGTCCCAGCTACTCAGGAGGCTGAGGCAGGAGAATCGCTAAAACCCGGGAGATGGAAGTTGCAGTGAACTGAGATCAGGCCACTGCATTCCAGCCTGGGCAACAAGAGTGAAACGCCATCAAAAAAAAAAAAAGAAAAGAAAAGAAAGGGAAGGAAAGAAGGGAGGGAGGGAGGAAGGGGGGAAGGAAGGAACGAAGAAAGAAAAGGAGGGAGGGAGGAAGGAAGGGAGGGAGGGAGGGAGGGAGGAAGAGAGGGAGGGAGGGAGGAAGGTGGTTGTCTGCAAGTGGAGGAACAAGGCCTCAGGAGAAACCAAACCTGCTGACACCTTGATCTTGAACTTCTAACCTCTAAAACTATAAGAAAATAAATTTAAGGTGCTTATTATTTTATTTTATTTTTATTTATTTATTTTTTTTTTGAGACAGAGTTTCGCTCTTGTTACCCAGGCTGGAGTGCAATGGTGCGATCTCGGCTCACCGCAACCTCCGCCTCCTGGGTTCAGGCAATTCTCCTGCCTCAGCCTCCTGAGTAGCTGGGATTACAGGCACACGCCACCATGCCCAGCTAATTTTTTGTATTTTTAGTAGAGACGGGGTTTCACCATATTGACCAGGATGGTCTCGATCTCTTGACCTCGTGATCCACCCGCCTCGGCCTCCCAAAGTGCTGGGATTACAGGCGTGAGCCACCGCGCCCAGCCTAAAGTGTTTAAGTTAAAAAAAAAACAAACCCGAATATTCAGAAAAGATAGAAAAAAGTAAGAAGATAGAGACAGAGATCATCCCATCACCCAAACAGAAGCGTTGCTAACTTTTCTTCAGTATTATGGGTTTTTTTTTGAGACAAGGTCTTGCTCTGTCACCCAGACTGGAGTGCAGTGGTGTGATCTTGGCTCACTGCAAACTCTGCCTCTCTCCGAGTAGCTGGGACCGCAGGCAGGTGCCACCACACCTGGCTAATTTCTGTTTCAGTGGAGGTGGGGGTTTTGCCATGTTGGCCAGGTTGCTCTTGAACTTCTGGCCTCAGGTGATCCACCCGCCCCAGCCTCCCAAAGTGCTGGGATCACAGGCGTGAGCCCCGCCCCCGGCCCCTCTCTTCCTGTTATCTAGCCAAGTACGAGGTATAAACAAGGGCCAATAACTAGAAAAGATACATAATCACAGGGTCCCTAAGGAAAGAGAGCTCTTTCTTTAAACTAAATGGCTGCATTCATG